GGTGAGCTGGGCACCCACTGAGGCGATGCACCGAACAGAGAGGCCGTGGTGGGCCCTCCGCGCCCGGGTACTTCGCGAAGGTCAGGGGCTTTAGGATTTTATAGGGCTCGGGATTTGTAGGGTTTAGAAGGTTTTAAATTAGGGTTTAGGGTTTAAGGTTCGAGATTTGTAGGGTTTAGAGGTTTAGGATTTAGGGTTTAGGGTTCGGGGCTTTAGGGGTTCAGGACTTACGGTTTAGGGTAGGTTTAAGTTCAGGCGACTGCACAAGCCCTGATGCAAACAAAAAGGTAGGTTTAAGTTGTAGGGGCAGCTGCCAGCTGAGACTTGAGGTAGGTTTCGGGTGGCTTCGCGGTCTGAATATGCAGTACTATAGTCCCTCTAACGTTAGAATGTAAACAACCCAATACCCGATTTTGCTCCTTCAGGCCCCATAGAGCATGAATCTGAAGCATCAGCTGTGCAAAAGAAACCCTCTGTATTCGCGATCGTGATTTAGGGGCCAGCAGGAGAGAGAAGAATGCCAATAATCAGAAACTTGCAAGCCGCAGGGTGCATTGAATAAAATTGGATGAAGGTTTCATATTACCACGTACTGTGGGATTCCTCTTAGCAGGAGCTTCACATGACAAGATGTACTCAAAGCCCATGTCGTCCCAGTGCTTGTAAAGTATAGCTCCAAAGATCCGAACAGGCTTCCTTGCCTCCACGGTATCTAAGCCGACTTGCGCGCTTGAGCCCTGAACCCTAAACCCTTCAATCCCAAGCCCCAGGCCCTAAACCCTAAACCCTCCTCGCAAAATTGTGCAGTTCCCTGCAAGCTCCCTGCGGTGCGACTCTGTCAGCTGGGCGGGTGGAGCCCTAAACCCTAAATCCTAAGCCGTAAACCCCATAAACCCTCAACCCTTACGGCTTTTTCGTGTGCCCCTTCTGCAACACTCTGCAACCTATGCCAGGCTGTACGGCGGAGACCTCCAGACTGGTGAGGCCCGCCGTTTTACTGAGATTTAGCTTACTTTAGAGTTTTAAATTCTAAATTACTGTGAATTTAGTTTACTTTAGGGTTTAGGGTTTGCCGTTTAGGGTTCATTTACTGTGAATGTAATTTACTTTGGGTTTGGGGTTTAGGGTTTATTAGGGACAGACTCCTGCTCTGCTAATTGCCTTCTATATCTTCTATGGAGAATCCAAGAGTTTTTGTCCAACTGTGGTATCATTTGTACAGCCACTCCGCGTTTTGGGGACCTTGAACTTGAATCCCAAAGACCTGCAGAAACAAAAATTCGGCGCGTTGAGCTTTACCTGAACCCTCAAAACCTATAGGTTTTGGAAGGTAGCTACCTTCTTAGAGAAAAGATGGCGGGATGTCAGAATAAGGAGCCCTGAAGCTGGAGGTATCTTGGGGTTCATCAGTTCTTAAAGCCCCAAGACTCCAAGTATACAAATAATACTTAGGGTTTAGGGTTTAGGGTTTATAAGGGTTTAGGGTTTAGGGTTTAGGGTACTTAGGGGCCTACAGTACAGTGTATCAAAAGTACCTACTTTGGGCTATTTGGAAGTCTTAGGGTAGGTTTACATCCCGGCCTTTTGCAAGGCCGAGGCGGCTTCCGTCCTGGAGAAATCAGAGGAGTCCCAGTTTGGGATTTGGAATTCTGGGGATCTTAGGGTTTCGTGTTTGGCGATGCATGCATCTGACAGGCGCGAGCCTCCGGGACAGATGGATCACCAGACTATATAGATGGGTACACCCTCCGTCTAGCTTTGGTTAGGATCCAGTGCACAAGGACCCTAAACCCCAAATTGCTAATTACGAGACAGACTGTGGTGTGTTCAGCTCGAATAAAGCCCTCCAGGACGGTTCCGTGCTGTTCCTGAAGGTCGGTCTTTGTGCTAGTCGCGGAGCTCAGGCCAACATTGCGGTGCGATAGTGGGAACAGGTCAGTCGATTGATTTTGTTGTTCGTGGCATCTGTTAGTGGGGCGCGGCTTTAGGACGATTACAGGGTTGTGCACTGCCATATGTGCTGTGACAGACCCATTCATGTTCCGAACTTCAGCACACCCGTCAGTGCTGAGGCCGGGACGTTTATCCCGACTGTGCAGAGGCACGCATTCTTTACTGAAGTTACTGCCATGGCTGATCAAGGTTGAGAGTTCATGCGCAATTGGTCTGGCTTGCAGAGACGCACCTCAGACCCGAGGCACCCACTGTAGTGTTTGCCTTTGCCAAATCTCAGAGCACATGGCCTGATATGTGTATATATCTGTACATATGTACATATGTGTATATATATATATATATGTGTGTGTGTATATATACGCATGTACAAACATATACATACATACATACATACATACATACATACGTACGTACGTACATACATACACACACACACACATACATATATATATATATACTTGTGTATATATATATATATGTGGAACTGGGCTAAAACTCAAACCCTAAACCTTTAACCCGATATAAAGCACGATCAGGCGACGCATCGAGGCATGCTGGCGACCCCGCGGCTCAATGGACCCGAGGCTGTTTGCGAGGGATCAGCGATCTTGAAACTGACTGCCGGAAGCTTGCTCATGCAAGCGACAATCGGTGAAGGGCAAAATACTCATGATTTGCTTTTCTGATCAACGATCTGGTGGTACTTGTTGCCGATGGTTGCCAGCAAATCCCCTTCTTCACGGTATGTCGACATCAACCGCTGTATTCCCTCACTTTGATCGGACTCCCCTAAACCACCTAGGGCAGCTGAAGTGAGGTGACATGTCAGGTGTATGCAAAGCAGTGCATTGCATTGCGTGGCAGTGCAGTGCGGTACCGTACGCTGAGTTACCTAACTTCGTGAAATCAGAGGTCGGCTAATATGTGTATGGACTTGAATGGTTGCCGGGACTCTGAAGCTTTGCATATCCTCATCGCCGATGCTTTAGCCTCGAAGGCAGCTGCAGTGCTGCCGCATTTCGTCTTTGTGTCCCCGGCGCTGCTTCATGCAAGACTCCCGACCACTGGAGAGCCGCGGCCTCGGCAAAGAGCGTTCAAGTCATGCTGGCATTGAGCAATCAAAGAGCACAGTGATCATCCAACGTTCCTTCCATGTTTTCCCGAAGTTGTCAAGTCCTCCCACTCCCAGAGTCTTGCTTTGTTCCAGCTTTCCTCAGTCTCCTGCTTCACTAAGTGTCTGGTTCTGTTGAAGCTGGAACCTCCGCCGGCGCCTTCAGCACCAAAATCTCCGGCCTTCGTTTCAAGGTGCTGTGCCTACATGCCGCCACCAGAGCATGCTGCAGGCTGTGTGGCGCGGCTCCCAGCGCAAAAGCCCGGATACAGCTCGGAAAGCAACAACGACGATTCTTATCGCCTGAAATCATGTTTAGGTCGATTTTCTAGTCCTCTTGTGCGGCGTGCAAAGGGTTGAAAGGGCTTGTGCAACTCTCGCGAGTCGTGTGTCGCAGACATGGCCCGAACCAGCTACCAGGTGTATAGGTCTTGCATTTGCGTCTGTTTGTTCGGCCTCAAGCTGTGCACGGAGAGGTTGTTGCAGCTCCAGGGTACATGTCCTGCATGCTGCAGCACGTGACACTTCTCCAATTCAAACAGACTCCGCGAAGCCCTAAACCATCCTAAACCCAAATCCACAAACTCCACGGTCTACTTGGAGCAAACTTTGCTTTGGCATGTTTTGACATCTTCCGAATACTTCTCAACGGTCGCTTGTGAGCAACATCCAGTCGGCAAGCACTGTGATGCACACTTGTCGATATGTTTACGGGTTACTGTATCCGTAACCAGGCTCGTCCTTGCCGTGCGTGTGGGACAAACTAGATTAGATCCTCAAGGTAACAACCCTGAATTCCTTATTGCCCTATTGCACTACTTGTACTGCCCAAGAGCCTCAACCCTCTGAAACCCTCTTGAAGGTTCCGGTTTGCACCTGTGCCCGCTTGTGCGACACACAGCGCGCGGCCTTCGCATCGTCGAGCCCTCAGAACTTGACGGCAGACGCCTAGCAGACCCCTAGCCAAAGGGCTAGTTATGAGTCTACAAACCAGACTCTAAGTGAGACTGAGGCTCCTGTCATATATATACATATATATATATATATAAAGGAACACGTAACTTCAAGTCATATTCAATTGTCCTACTACAATATAAGGTTTAAGCGATCGCTCAAACCTTTTCAGGTTCTTTTTTCAGGAAGAGACTTTCGAGTCACCGGGCAGCTCCCACGATGCAAGGAACACACAACCAGTGAGTTATGCATGCTAGAACTATGGTTCATACAGTCATGTGATTTTGTTCATACAGTCATGTGATTGTTTCGATTTTCGGCAGGGCTTTGCTTTGCTGCTACGGGGCATATGGGCTAGAGCTTCATGGCATGGTCTGAGGACATGCCAAAAGGCAATCGCGACCACCGCAGCCCTTTCCGATCGTAAGATCAATGCGCACTTGCAATGGAGGCAGTACATTTCTAAAGACTGCACAGCAAGCTCGCCAGGTTGTTGTGCCCTTCGATATGAGACCGCTACCTATGTGAGACATTTCTGCAGCCAAACCGAGACTTCAAAAGCTGGGTCGGAGACCCGAGGGCCCGCTGATCCCCTAAATCGCCGCTAAGCCCTACAGAGTTAAAAGGTCAGAACAGGATTTCCGCATACTTCAACATGGCCCAGAGGTAAAACCAGATGTGCTGGACCTGGACACAGCACCCACCTTCGGCACAACTTCCTAGCATGTGTTCTCTTTAGCGGCACAGGGGCCGAACAAACCCCGCGCCTTTAAGAGGCTACCTGAAGTTGCGAATAGCTCTAGAACCCCCGAGCTCGTCACACTCACCCCGAGCGCTGCAATAGATTCACTAGCTCCACTGACTCTTCACCTTAGACCACTTAGACCCTCCCTGTTCCGATGACCTCTAAACCCTAAAACCCTAAACCCTAAACCCTGAAACCCCAAACACCCCCAAAGCCTCAGAGTTCCGATGTGCCATGGACCTGACAGCAGCTGCATGGCTCGTGGAGGGTGCCGAGGTTGAGCGGGAACTTGATGACATCGGAGCCTTGGCAAGACAACTTTAGAGTCTATGGGGCCTATATGGGACTTTCCGAAAATTAGGGGTACCTTATTTTGGGGTCCTTATAATAAGGATTCTAATATTTAGGGTACTATAGTAGGGTCCCCTATTTTTGGAAACCCCCCATATAGGGTACATACGGTTTCCAGGGTTTAAGGGCTACGGTTCAGGGTTTAGGGTTGGGGCTTATAGGGTTGAGTCTAGTTAGGGTGGAGGCTCAGTCTCGACACTTGTACCGGAGTGGATGCAGAACACACCGGGGTCCGATTGAAAACTCTCCGAAGCCTGCACGCAGAGGCATGACTACTTTACTTTCGGTGGTAGAGATTAGACACAGCAACTTAAGCAACTTCCCTCTGTTCTAGGATACAAGGTCTTTATCCAAACCCTCTGTTCTAAAATACTGTACCCTATTCTTCACGCGAACCTCAGGAAACATCTGGATCCGGGGTCGCATCACGCGCGTCCTCGATGGCAGACAGCTCGGGGCTCAGGGCTCCGTGGGTGCGCGGAGGAGTCCAAGCAGCCGGTTCATCCCCCCATTCAAGGTTTAGGGTT